CCGGTTTCTTTCGAAATTTACCTAAATGACTATTTTCCCGACCATATTTGTTTCTGCAAATGCTTATTTTTACTAATGGTAGTTGTGTGACTATAAGAAGTCATTTATTATCATTAATGTCTTTCTGATCACAGAAGAATATATTAATTAGTCCGTGCTAACCAACTAATCTTCATATTCCAGGATAGAAGAAACCACGATTCCCTCCAAATCTAAGTCTATATCTTTCCAAAATTCCTTCAATTTAGATACAATTTTGTAGAAATATATGCTGAACAAGCGAAAAAAAAAAATCAACATTTCTTATTGATATAGATAGTCCTACCTATAGTACAAAAGCATTTATGTGTGAAGATTAAAACAAAGTAAGATAAAGAAAAGTTTTAGGTAATGATATAAGTAAGCATATCCTGACCGATCAAATGAGCATTTTAGATGTTAGAGCGCCATCTAGCGGAATAAATATTAACTAAATGTTGATTTAGGTTTATAATATTGGCTAAATCAGTTTTAAAGATATATATATGGAAATTCTTTATTCATCTTTGATGGATTAAAAGCATATTTTTACGATGCAAATGATGGTTTAAGATATCTTGTACAAAGGGATGGGAAATATATATCAAACAAACATGTTTTTGTTATTTTCAAATATTGGCCAAAACCTTTCTTGGTTTATCTTACACTCCATTGAAATACTACATGTACACAATACAACTTGTACTAAAAGGATCTGAACACATTTACCGTCATCACAGGAAGAATAAATCACACGATAAGAGTCAAGATTGAACATTTATTCTCCAGGTTAAATTGCCATTGAAGCAATAAAAACTTGATGTGTGTTGTCGATTTTTTAAAAAATGAAACAAAATATGAAACATGCACGTTCTTATAATTAAATAAATCATAGAGAGTGTCAGTTCTACTTATATGAACCTCAAATAGAATTTTATCGAATAATACTAGATGCATGTTACTGATATTTTTTGATTGCTTTGCTGTTGGTGCACTGTCATCTATCAGGAATATCAAAACTCCGCCTTTGCCGGTTCCAAGCCCGGATGAAAAAGGAGGAGCAGTAATAAGCTCACTAAAAAACCTGGGTTCAGCTGGCCCGGCTGATAGTACGCTGTAAGGGCTCCTAATCCAGGGATACAGGATGAGCAGCGTTTGTACTCCATGTTAGGAGCGGCTGTACATGGCGTCTGTTCCTCATGTCAGAGGCGGCAATTTCTTTTGGAGCTAAGTCGGCCTGCTACTGAGTAGTGCTCCCAGTCTTAATGACAAAAGCATACGCATTCTACTTCACCCAGTCATGATGGTTGTCAAATCTCCCCACTATGCTGCATCAGCCGTCGCGCAAGCTCTACAGGCTTGATACCCTAATATGATTGAGTGGTGATAAGAAAGAAGAGGAATATCAACACAGACTGTTGATTTTTATTTTCTAAAGAATTGGTTAATATCCTTCTTAAATAATCAAGATAAAAAAACGACGTGTACGCGTTTTGGGCTGTTGGACATATGTCATCTCTCTAGTAAATTCAAGAAAGGGTATTGGACAATTTTACAAAAAAAAAAAATTCAGTTGAAATATTTTCTGAGAGATGGAGCAGTGAACCATCATCAATATATTCAGTTATACAATCATGATAAAATTGTGAAAAAAGTTTTAAAATTACATATATTATCTCACAATGAGTTTCTTTTTATTGAAAAACTCTAGCTTTCAAGCGATAATCGCTCTTCATCGGGCTTAATATATGTATAATAATAATTGTAGGATATAGTCGATGTTTTATTTAGCCCGTTGAAGAGTGATTATCGCTTGAAAGCTAGCGTTTTGTAATAAAGAGAAACTCATTGTGAGAAAATATTTTGTAATTTCAAAAAATATTCAGTTATACAATCATGAGATCTCTCCTTTCATATTTATTAAATCATTCTGAACTTTTCTTCTCTACGTTCAAAGTCTATTTTTTAAATAGAGAGAGAGAAATCTATAAATATTAGATATTGCAATAAAATAATTTTATTAGAAAGCGTTTCCATTTTTTGCCAGATAAATACACAGACATCAGCCTTTATTAAGACATATACTCTTATACATGGAGTCTAAAGATGCAAATAATGAAAAGTTAAAATTTTTTATATAGAGTAAAACTTAATTAATATAATCAAGCTCTCTCTCTCTCATGAATAAATTAATATGGGTAAATCAGAGGAAAATAAATTTCTCTTATACTTGGATTTACCACCAAGTCTGAAAATAGGGAAAAAGGTAAAAGCTAATCAAATTCAATGGTAATAATGAAATATATATACAGGAAAACTTAATTAAGACCTTAAGTTCATTAACAGATTGATCTGGGTTTATCTGAGCCTGATCAGTACGTTTTAGATCCCATCTTGTTGATGTCTATAGGCGCGGAGTCTTCTTTTTCTTTCCTATCTCCACTCAATCATATTAGGCTATCAAGTTTTTAGAGCTTGAGATGGTGTCTGCTGGTGATGAGTAGAGCTTATCAAAGGAGATTTGACATCTATAATGATTGGGTGAAGTAGAATGGGGCTGCTTTTGTCATTAAAACTGGAAGCACTATTCATTAGCAGGCCGACTTAGTTCCAATATGAAATGGCCACCCCTGACATGAAGTTCAGACGCCATGTGCAACTGCTCTTCACATAAATTACAAACGCTGCTCATCCTGTATCCCTGGATCAGGAGCCCTTACAGAGTACTATCAGCTGGGCGAGCTGAGTCCAGGTTTATTAGCGAGCTTGTTACTGCTCCCCCTCCTCCTTTTTCTTCCGGGCTTGGGACCGGCGCGCAAAGGCGGAGTAAAGATTAGAAACTGGTTTATAAGTTAGGTGGTTTATAACTTTATTGCCTATTTGATGTTGGAAAAAAAAACGTGTCATAAAAGTACGTTGACATCTGTGAAAAGTCTATTTCTGCGTCATGACATCAACCCAACCTCAGGAGATGAAAAAGAAGGGGAGTCAGTAGAATCTATTTTATTTTAATGTTCATTTTTTCGTGAATATCTATTTGAAGCTATTTTGAGGGAAGAGTAAGTAAGCATTCCAATTTTTGCAAATACTTTCGTATTTTGATGTTATATGTATGTATCATATGTAAATACCATTGTTTTTATTCTTTTGCATTTTTTATCTTTTTCTTTTCCTCGGATTTATCCAGAATAATCTTTGTTTATGAGCTTAATATTCTTAATTGTTTTCCTATATATAAATATCATTATTACCATTATAAATGTGATTAGATTTTACTTTTTTTATTCCTTTGATTTGCAGACTCCCCGTGGGAGGTAAATCCAAGTATAAGACTCTATATGTCTTAATAAAGTCTTCTGTGGGTATATATTGATGTTGCTGATGAAGAAATAGTTGAAGTGTTGTTAGGATATGTTTAACTCTATCTAATTTGAAGGATTGGGAGGCATAGCGTCGATTTTCGACAACTACCACCCGGGATCGAATCCCGCATTGAGTACTTTTTTCAACTTCAATGGCCTCCG